GGAAGGAATCGACTGTGGAGACGAAGTGGCCGAATGGCTCAGTTGGAACCTCGATCGGCCAGGGTTAAGACTTGTTTGGTGCACCGGCCGCAATGCGTCTCCAAAACAGTATGGTAATAACTAATACATCAACTCGATTTCCAAGTCGAACAAAATGAAAGCATTGAAAATTGACTTACCTAATCATTACACGGAAACGTGCTCGTTCCATTTCATTACATTTTAGTTAGGTTACATCTATATGGTACAGGGTGATTCACCATATATATTATAAGCATGTTCATCCCGCTTTGAACAACAGAAGTTTGTTTCACAAAAGTCTACTTCTTGAGAATAGTGAAAAAAAATTCAAGAAATTGAAAATAATGCTTCGAGTGAATTTGAATAAATTCATCTTTAAATTAAAAAATGGGGGTGAGCATGCTTGTTGACTCGCCCTATTATACAGTCAATATATTCTATTGTTTATAACAAACATACACAAACCTACGCCTATTACCGAATAATATAAAATAAATAATGAAAGTAAATTATTAAAGTGATCAGTCATTGGTGGCGATTAATTATTTTAGCCAAAACATCTTCCATTCTACTGATCGACCTAGTAATGTGATGATACTTTTAAAATTCGTTATTATTTCTACCTACTTAAAATCATTCGGTAAACTTTTCCCAATTTTTTAGGTTTTCAGTTTTTTTTTTTGGATTGAATATTGTAAAGTTTAGGAATTTTCAAATATTGATTATTTGGAATTAAAATCAAAAATCTTAATATGTGGACTGACTGATCTCAAATAGACATAATATAAACAATTTAAGTCCTTTCCTCATGTGTGAAACAAATTTAAAACGTAATTTATGGATATGGAAATTTTTAGTTATATTTTTTTTAACTAAAGGACCTAATATTAATTTTTTGAATTCATGGTATGGCACATTGACCCCGCACTCTAGATCCACTCCTGATTTATACAGACAATATTTATTTTAAAAACTCCAGCTTGAGGAGTATAGTTAAGCTATAAATCCTTTGAAGAAACATTAAACAATAGTAAAGAAATAATAATAATAATAATAATAGATAATCAGGCATTGGACTGATTACAACTATTAATTTTAATTTTATGGACCTTAGGAAAGTTAGATCCAAAGGTAGTGGGTGCTAACGAATGTCAATATCTATTGTCCACGCAACCAACGCTCAAGTGGTTACAGCAAGAAATGGCAAACTCGATAGCGGAAATAGTAAATATAAAAAATCCATTTTATTAATAATATTAAAAAATATATTCATATAATACTACCTAAAATATATTGTAAAATTTGTACTATTGCTAACGACCATAATAATACATCACATTATTAGGATGAAGATAGTCTGTTACTTCGATTCCGAGGTAATTTTTTGATTTCTGGCAACAATCTACCAGCCCACGCCGAATTAACTTGGGACCAGTTGGACATTGGAGGAGTCAAATTTCAAGTACGACAGACCATAATTATTATTATAATATCTATTATATATTTTGTGTATTTCTTTTTACTCGAATTGTGATATCATAATTGTCACATTTTTTCACAGGCCGCTTCGGCTTGCGAAAGGTGCAAAATGGTGAATATCGATCAGGATACATCGGAGAACATTTATAAGCCAATGTCCATATTGTCTCAACACAAGTGGCAAGGCAAAATTGTTTTCGGAATCTATATGAATCGCGAAGATACGGAAAAATGTAAAATACGAGTGGGCCAAAAATGCACTGTCATTAATAAAAAATGATTTGTCAAAGAATATACCTAAATATAATACAATATAATATTATCGTTTGAACTTAAAATTAACAAACTTACAACACGGCAATCTTGTAAATGCCACAGAATAAAATAATCAATCATAACCTAACCTTGCTATGCTCAAATGCATGGGCCCACACAAATTGCCTCCAAAATCTAGATACAGTGTGGCCTTTTTTTTCACTTCAATTTTACACCCAAACTGTAGGGGTAATTAAACTGCCTCCCATATGTCGACAGCATACCCAAATTATATTAAAGTGTAAATTTTTTATTATTATTTAGGTTTGTAAAATCAAAATAAAACCTTGATAAAGTAGTCGAGCAAATACAGGTTACCGTCACATTAAGTCGTGGTATTGGTGGTTAGGTGACAGGAATGGGCTGTCAGAAACTTCTGTTTTTATTATGTGACTCGTCAAACCATGAAAAATGTCAATCAAAAAGTACTGACCTAGAATCGGTGCAGGAGGCGCATGAACTTAATCCACGCTCGACCATCGCCCTTGTTTTTAGAGAATCCACATTTTCCTAGTTTTTTTTTATAAAAATTGATCACCCTATATTTTTTATCAGATTGCGATAAAAAATTGCACCCATTTTGTAAAAATATTTACAATCTTTTTTTATATTCGAAGGGTCGAAATGTCAAATAAATGGAAATGTAAATAGTTATTATAGGTAATATTATAAATAATAACACCTATTTTGAATAGGTACTATACTATCATATTACATATTATTATACACGCTACGCTAGTCTTAAATACCTAAATAATATTATAGTGACTATTGTATTATATTTAATTATAGATTTGTTCATAAATTTCTGTTTCATAGCTCAAACCCATTGGGCATCATAGGAAACAATATTAAATCTGTAAAATGGCTTCTAGTGTTTTGATTAAAAAAAATCATTAAATTATCTTCAGAACACCCTTAAGTAGTACAAAAAATCTCAAGAGTTTGAAAATATGGCCTTAAAGTATATTTAAAAATTTAAAAATCAGATTTTGAATAACTGCATTATTGAAGAAAAAATTGGGTGAGCATACTTGGTGGATCACTCGGTATATAATATACAGTTTTTTCTATCATCTAGTGCACATGTGTAATGAACAATGTACCACCTTGATCAGCGCCCTCAAATGTGGACTCCGGAACTACAACCACATCCTGTCTATTATTAGTATAAGGTCTATGGTAAAACCTAAAAATTAAATTTGTTCATATATCAGCTTTTGGCTTTCAACCACAGATGTGTTAAAAGATGTACCGTAAAGGAGGGCTCGCCATCAGGACAAAAACCGGTTTTTTGTCGTTTTACCAATAAGCTTTAAACAAGAACACATTTTTTAACTTTCTTAACAAAAAATGTAATTAAATTAAAAAATTAAATATAGGTAGTAATTGTCTCTGTAAATCTAATAAAAGAACAGATTTAAGATACATTTATTGTCTCAGAAGATATTATCGCAATGAGTAAATCCTTGTCGAGAAATAATCCACGGAAAAAAGTCACATTAAAATAAATATACATATAAACAAATTAAATTAATATGTTATATTGTTATTTTTAATTTTGAACACAGTCGGTTATAATATTAAGTTATTCAAATATTTAATGTTTAATTTTTTATACACAGGTTTTGTTGTTATTTATTATAAGTTATGATAACAACACCACGTTTAAAGATATCTTTACAACATTGTACAACGTATTAAAACATTTTTCGTTGATATAGTGCAGTAATTAGTAATACCAAGTAATATATGATACACAAAAATAATAAACGATATACGTAACGTATGGTGCTACTGCAATGAAATTAAAATGTAAAAAACAAATGTCAATTTTAGAAGAATAAAATAAATCAAAAACAGATCAATAAAAACGTATTGTGTGTACTACTGCAGTTAAACATTCTGGTAATGTTGTACTGTCTTCTTCTTTGATTTCAAACATTTCCTTCCAAACAGAGATTTTTCAATATTTTTGGTTTTCTTTATAATGTGGTAATTTTCTTTTATTGCTTAATAAACCAGACTGCTGTGCCAACTTAGTTTCATGTGCAGCGATTTCTAATCTCATTTTGGTTATCAAGACCCAAATACTTGAATGCTTAGAATATTAAATACACATTGTAAAATCAATACATTCATTACCTTCTATAGAATACTATTGCTATTATTGTAAAGTTAATAATATAATTAACAAAACCTAACATACATATTTTTTTTTTTAAATAAATAAATTGGATTTTTCCTTGACTTTTTTTCCTATATTCCCTGTATTTTATGGGAATATATTTTTCTACCCTAATACGATTGGTAATATTTTATAATTTACCTCAGTTCTGAACATACATTTTACAGTAAATACAAGTAGGTACCTATTTTAAATCTGGGTAAGACTTGTTGCACACTTGTTGTACATCCTCCGCCAAATAATACCAAATGTTAACAACAGTAATTTAACTGTTAATAAAAATATAATGTTTAGAAAAAAATGTTGTTTACACTGTATTTCAGTAACATGTATTTGTATTATTAAGATTTGAATTTTCTAAGCCGTATATTATGATATATTTATACACCAGGGGCCTATATTCAAATATTTAATTAACTATATTTTATTTTTTATTTATTATTTAACAATATCACAATTATAATTTATAATTTAGTTAAATATTAAAAATCAAAGTACGAAATTATCTTAGTTCGGTTTGTTCTAAATTCTACCCTATAGAATTTAAATCAATACAATTATTACTGTGTAAATTAAAAGGATCTCTCTGTATACGCGAATATTTTTCAATTGCTTCAATCCCACTTATTATTTCCAGATCAGAATAATAGCGCAGTGTTTCGATATAAAACCTTGAGTAGTTTGAAATCGGTAGTAAACAATATTACACGTTCGATGCAAAATACTACAGTTCAAACGTCTATACATTGCAGAATTGGTAAGATGGGCACACGTTTACTAAATTTATATCCGAAAAAAATATTGTTACTTGAATTAAAATTGTTTTGTTGTTTTTGGTGATTACTAAATGTTTCAATTTCTGAATGTAAAAGCGTAGGTTTTTATTGATTGAAAATTCGTTTATTATTTTAATCATCGTGAACGAAACCATTAGAATTAAACAATTAGAATTAAATATAATTGTATATTTGTATAAGTAGGTAGGTATGCTCTGAGTTTAAAATAAATTTATAAGAAGTTATTTGATTTTCATGAATCTATAAAACTATAGGTACTTCTCTGTAACATCATATAACAAGTAAGTTGTAAACGTAAAAGTTTATTTTAATTAAAACGTCATGTCTACGACATGAAAATTACCTGCTTTAAGTCAATAAACCGCAAAATAAACTGTAGTGTTACTAATTTAAAATTAGTAATTTAATATTCGTTCGAGGAGGGAGCAAGTTCAATAATCAGTACCGCAACTAGGTTTTGTGCGGGCCTGATGCGAAAAATGTTACCGTTGGTACTAATATAATACAAATAATAAAATTATGTAAAAGTTTTATTTACGCCATTACTTCTACATGACCAATAAGGAACCAGCCTTTATAACTGCACTTGTTTTTGTTATGTAATATCTTGTGATTACTGATTTGAATAGTATACATACTTACATTTAAAAAACAGCAGATATTAGGTAGGTACGAGAAATAAAATGCCCATATTTTTGCAAAATCAAGTGTTTTATCAGCACTTACTCTCCTGCACATTAAAATTATTTTAGCCAGAAATTAACCCGAGTATTAAATAAATCCAAAAAAAGTATGAACCTATTTAATGACTACCTAGTTTATTTGCATTGTTCAAATGTTCCCCATTTATAGGAACACTGGAAGTGATTACAGTCATGTAATTAGAAAATTATGTATATACGTAATTGGTATGGTAATAATAGTAAAATTTAATTGTATACTGTAACTTTAGTGTTTGGTACAGATGTCTTCAGTCAAAAATTGATATTTTTGGCTAATGCCTAATAGTATGATTAGAATCAAACATTTGTGCATTTTCATATTTTTTTTTGGTACAGATCAGGTAAATCAAGACTAGCTCACTATCAGTGAAATTTATTGAAGTTTAAACATTTTAAGTCACATTATATTACGTACAAAACACGTATGTCTATAGTGAAGAGCCAGGAGGACGTCGTACCCAGATGTTGTTTCATCTTACACATCACAATATACGACATGACAAATTTTCGTTGACTAGTTTCAATGGTCAAATTACTCCAATGTCAAAACTAACAGCATACTATTGAAACTAGTAAACGAACATTTACTATATCGTACGTTTGTGAGATATGGAGACACATGCGGGTGTGACATCCACTTAAGAGTTGAGGATCTAACAAGATCGATAATTTTAAAATGGTCTTTTTACCTCAGTAAAATTAAGATTTTATCAAACAACAAGTATTGTTATTTATTAATTTCAAACAATGCGTCTGTTGTTTTATTTTATTGAACAGGTTATGAGCTTATCTTAATATTTTATATTTTGCTCAAACAAAATAAAATGTAGAGATCATTTTAAATGCATGCCTTGCTGAAATTTAATGATAAACATAGCGTAAGTCATATAAAACAAAAATCCAACCAAATAGCTTAAAAACCACAAAACATTGATTTAAATATCTACATGATAGTTAACATGTTAACATAAAATTAGATACATTAAATATTAAATTTGACTAATTATCGCAGCCAAGACATTGTTGTTTTCTTTTTTTCAAAATATTTATTTTTCTTTTCAAATTTTTTTTTAGGATTTCTAAGGATTTTTTAGGATCTATGACATAAATTCAAATTATTAAGTGTGATAATTAGTTCGTGATTTAAATCGTGATAATAGAGAGCGACAGCGTCTTTTTCCACAGCTGTGAGTCTCATCTCATCTTCAAACTTTAATCATTTCGGCATAAGTCGATGGGCAACCTGCATATCTTAAATCGTGCTGAGAACTATAGTACGCGAAGTGAAAAGTGAGCAGCGTTTTCTCAGTAACGCTTATAGTAGGTACGAGTAGTATATGGCCCAATCCGAAAAAAACGCCACTGGGGCTTCACTTTTCACCTCACTTGCTATAGGCGTTTTTGATTTGAGCCATTGATCCCATACACCAAAAATCAAATATGAATATGATATTAGTATACCTATGAGGCCATATACAAATACATCAAATTATTATTTATTTATTATTTTTTAAGCTTTGCACTAAAAACATTATTAATATTTAATACAGCATTTGTATTGAATATTTAAACATATCTAACTTAAATAGGTTTATTTTCTTTTGATGATGCCCTCCCCCCCCTCCATTTAAGTATAAAACCTGGCCAAAGAATGCAATGCATACCTTGCGTCCCCTATTATGGCCTCACCAAGGCACACAATAAAATATATTGTGGACAATAATACATTGGTAATATAAATTATGTGCTTTAACTAAATCTTTGAATAAAAAACATAAGCGTTTTGTTATATTAGGTAATGGAAAAGCAATTTAACAAAAATACACAAAAAACTATAGGTGAAGCCGAAAATAATATTTTTAATAATTTCCCGATGTATATTATTACATTTATCATTTATGTCACAAATATGAAATATTAAAAGTGTAAATGAGTGTAACGAGGTTAGTAGATTTTTACTTCATAATCAATAGTACCTATATTATGAATAACAATTTAGCATATACTTAGACTTAGATATGTTGACAGTGAAGTGTTGACTGTTGATTATAATGTTCTTATTAGTAAGTAGGTAATTATATTGACATGGTTGAAATATGCAATATTTAAGGATTAAATCGACATTAAGTACCTAGGTATCTAAAGACATTATTAGTCTTAAATACCTATTGGAGGTTATAATGAAATTAATAAAATAATAATATGTGTTTATCAAAATATATTATAATGTCTGATAATGTATTTTAATATCGTATTTCAATAATATTTATTTTTATAATTAATTCAAGATGGCGAAACTGAAACTCGATAAGTGGGATGGGGAGGAGGAAATTCATTTTTTAATACGACACTTGATACGGCACACACTCTTCAACCCATGTACCTATTAATCAATTCATTATTTTTTTTTACAGCCCAGTTATATACATTTTTACTTTAATTTAAAGATTAATTTTCGTTTGCATGTAATAGTTAATTGATAATACAACAAATACTTTAAAAAATAACCAAGGCCCACCTATTCCCAGGGATGGAGAGACAATTCTTTAGGTATTATGTATGATATCTATTTACAATAATTGTGTTTTGTGTTAATTGTTGTTTTCATAAAACATATATCACACAATATTCAAATCATTATCGTTAGCAGATAAACAACGTAGCCAGTAGTCACAGTATATCTACCAGTCGAACGAATCGGACGTTGATACACTTTACAATACGCTTTTTGAACAATTTTGGTAGAGCAATCCGGTCAAACCCGTCGACAGGCAACAGAACACAGTCGACGAGTAATGAGCTATTATTAATTAATTGGAATAAATTCGAACACTGCTTGCAGGAGCGTGACCAGGACTTTTGTTTTGAGGGTGGTTTTAATCTTTTTAAGTATAATATATTTTCTTTATTTTATTAAGGTTAAAAAATTTAAAAAGTCAATTTGGAGGGGGGTTGAACAACCATAATCACCTCCTGGGAACGCCACTGCCTGTTTGAGAACAGACATATTTTGTTATAAAATAATAAAAAAATTGACCCATCGCCTAAATTCCCAAAACATCGTTTCCTGGTTATCCTATACATCTTTTATAAAAAATATAAGGAGTAAACGTTTTCTAAATAATTCTTACAGTTTAAAACTCTTAAAATGTTAAATCTTAAAGACGATGGCCGATTATTCTCCTCTTCCTCAAAAACTGCAATACTTAAATGGACGTCTTTCGTATCACCACTTATCTACTTGGGTCAAATATACCTGTATATTGTATACATCAATTGGATTTTGTTTTCATCAAACTGTGCAGGTACAATACGATGGATCTACACGTGTCAAGGATTTTCGTTTATCCGATCAAATCTTGCGGAGCATACGAAACGAAGGAATGGCTATTGGAACCATACGGGTTTCAATACGACCGAAGCTGGGCTGTGGTCAGTGAGGCGGGAATGTGTATGACGCAAATGGAAGAGCCAAAACTCTGTCTGGTGAAGCCGTATATCGATTTGCAAAGAGGAACCATGACTCTGGTATATGCAGGTAAGACATTGACACAGACGTAGTCCGTGTGAGCATACGTAAAAAATAATTTAATGATACTTAACATCGACGATACAGAGCGGAATCGCAGTTGTTATTTGTATTCTGACGTTTTTTTTCTTTTAACGAACAAACCCATGTGATGTTACAGCATCCTGATAAAAGTAATATTAAAAATTTAATATAATATCTTATTAATGAATAGAACCTAATAAAGCTGACATATCGTATTATTACACTTACCCATAAATAATATTAGAGAAGGTAAACTTGTAAATGCAGCAGTGCCGGGGTCCCTGTCCTAATGGAAAGGTAAATAAGTTGCCTTAATAATTTTATACTAAATGGTTGAAAATATTTAACCACTAATTTTTCAAGCAACCTATTATAACAGCGGACATGATTTTGACGAGGGCAACTGCACGGTCTAGACCGGACACGGTGGCGTATAATGGAATGCCCCCTTAAAATACCTTTAGGTATATGCAACGTGACTACAATTTAATATTATGACATCACAGTTATTGACAATATTGTAATTTGAAATATCTACATTCACAATCAGGGTCTGATTAAGGAGTTGGTCATCAGTAGGCTAGGGTTGATTTGGCGCCACTACAAATTTTCCAAGTACCTACGTAGAGGGTGGGGCGCCCCCAATTTAACCAAGGCTGTAGTCTACTCAGCCTATTGGTTAATCAGGCCCTCTTCACAATCGTAACCAAATTTCAAAAAACCTCTAATCAGAGCCAAGCGTGTAAAAATGACTCACAATGTTTATTGATGAAAGAATTATAACTTAAATTGGACCATTTATTAGTACCGAAATAATATTATTGTCTATCGCTATTTGATTTGAAAAAAAAATGTTTCCATTTCTATTCAGAAAACAAAGACGAAGTTCCGATGGAAGTTCCATTGGATACGAAACTCGATGCGACCAAGAGAACGGGAAAAATTTGTTGGGGTGGATCTTTGGAAGGAATCGACTGTGGAGACGAAGTGGCCGAATGGCTCAGTTGGAACCTCGATCGGCCAGGGTTAAGACTTGTTTGGTGCACCGGCCGCAATGTGTCTCCGAAACATTATGGTAATAACTAATACATCAACTCGATTTCCAAGTCGAACAATATGAAAGCATTGAAAATTGACTTACCTAATCATTAAGTAAATTATTAAGGGGATTGGTGGCGATAAATTATTTTAGCCAAAACATTGTCCATTCTATTGACGGACCTATAGTATTGCGTTGATACTTTTGAAATTCGTTATTATGTCTACTTGAAATCAGTCGGTCCACTTTTCCCAATTTTTTAGGTTTTCAGTTTTTTTTTTTTGGATTGAATATTGTAAAGTTTAGGAATTTTCAAATATTGATTATTCGGAATTAAAATCAAAAATCTTAAAATGTGGATTGACTGATACTGATCTCAAGTAGACCTAATTTTATACAATTTAAGTCCGAAAAAAAATTTAAAACTTAATTTAAGCAAATGTTAATTTTTTTTAATTAATTAAAGGGCCTAATAAAAATGTTTTGGATTCGTGGCATGGAACATTGACCCCTTTCCCTGGAACCACTCCTGATTAGACACACAATAGTTTTCCCAAAAACTACAGCATAATCTATACATCATTTGATGGAACACTAAAAAAACCGTATAGGAAATAATAATAATAATAATAATAATAGATAATAAGACATTGTTACTGATTACTACGTACCTACAATTAATTTTAATTTTATGAACTTTAGGAAGGTTAGATCCAAAGGTAATAGGTAATAACCTATGTCAATATCTATTGTCCACGCAACCAACGCTCAAATGGTTACAGCAAGAAATGGCAAACTCGATAGCGGAAATAGTAAATTTATAAAATACATTTTATTAATAATATTATGTACCTAGGTACCTAAGATATATTGTAACATTTTAAATTTGTACTATTGCTAACGACCATAATAATACATCACATTATTAGGATGAAGATAGTCTGTTACTTCGATTCCGAGGTAACTTTTTGATTTCTGGCAACAATCTACCAGCCCACGCCGAATTAACTTGGGACCAGTTGGACATTGGAGGAGTCAAATTGCAAGTACGACAGACAATAATAATAATCATTAAAATATTATATATTTCTTTTTACTCGCATTGTGGTATCATAATTCATAATTGTCATATTTTTCTACAGTTCGATTCGGCTTGTGAAAGATGCAAAATGGTAAATATCGATCAGGATACATCGGAGAATATTTATAAACCAATGTCCATATTGTCCCAACACAAGTGGCAAGGCAAAATCGTTTTCGGAATCTATATGAATCGCAAAGATACGGAAAAATGTAAAATACGAGTGGGCCAAAAGTGCACTGTCATTAATAAAAAATGATTTGTCATAGGATTTATCTATGTACTCGTATAATATAAATATCGTTTGAACTTAAAATGAACAAACTTACAACACGGCAATCTTGTAAATGCCACAGAATAATTAATCATGATAATGGAATAAAAAAGTATTTTTTCTTAAATTATTTATTATTAGAAATATCATTACTATCAGTATATTGTAACCCACGAAACCTGAACATGTGGTCATTAGAAAGATTGCTACGTTTAAATTGGCGAGCGCACACGAATCGCCTCTAAAATATAGTTATGGCGTGGCCTTTTTTTCACTACAATTGTACACACAAAGTGTGAGGGTTATCTAATTACGGGTTTTCGGAAACTTCCGGATTTTCACGTTTATAGCTATAATGTGACTTATCAAACCATGGAAAATGTCTATCAAAAAGTACTGACCCGGAATCGGTGGAAGCGCGTGAATTTAATCCACGCTCGGCCATCGCCCTCCTCATCAACAGCAAAATTCGTCGTGATTTCCAAAAAAACTTTAAAAAATAATTAAACAATTCTTTAAGGTATTTTATTTTAGAGAAGCCAACATTTTCCAGTTTTTTTTTATTATAAATTGATCAGCCTTTATTTTTTACCCGATTTCGATGAGCAGTAGATTGCAGCCATTTTGTAAAGAAAGTAATTTAACTAATAACTAATAAGATAAAATATTACGAAGGAAACATTTGGCAACAGCTCACATACGTTGAATATTGAAATGTATGACGTTGAATGGTATGCGAGAACTCAAAATCTAAATATACCTATGGGGTATCCGTTGACTGTCCTGGCTTCTGCTTAATTCGAGGTTTAGGGCGCTCTCAGGGGAGTTACAACAGTTTAATACGAGATGTTACCATTTAGGGGTCGTCAAATTTACAACTGATAGTGTCATAGTGATTTACCTGCAGACGAGCAGCCTATAGCCGTTAATTCGTGTCGGGAAAAATGAGACATACTCGGATGTTTACTGAAATGACCAACCACGACCCGATCACATTCGGAGCTCGCAACTTAAGCTATATCCTAATTAAATCCGGGAAAAATTAAATACCTTTGCTAGAAAATTATTATTTATCCAATAGTTTTAAATATGTCACTAACAGATACACAACTAAAGTTGTTGATTTTCGAAAACGGCGAAAAATTATTATGGTACATAATTGTATTTAATCTATGCATTTTTTAAACCTCTATAAACTCTACAATATTAATTGTTAATCAAATATCTTATCTTGTGGTTATACGACACATTTTTTTGCCGACCAGGGGGAGAAATTGCCCCTCACTCTATTTGTATGATATCATAATAATGGACGGTGAGTATTGAACTATGTTTAGCGCGGTTTATTATTATCAGTCATACTCATTTTAAAATAAAAGTAATATGTCTGTAATATAAACATTTAAATAATAGATACCAATCAGTGGGTGGTAGTGTCAAATGGTGCGTAATTTACAAATGTGTACACTCAGAAAAAATGACCAGTTTTAATGAACAACAGGCAAGATTTCGAGCCAATAAAATGTATTCATAAAAATATGAATATTTCTTTAATCGAAACATGAAAATTGTTCTTAATTAATACTATTAATACAAAATGTTGCAATTGTTTCCATTTTTTCCTTTCAAATTTTCAATTTAGCCACCCACAATACAATAACATTTTTTGTTGTGGTTTATATTAATAATATACATGAATTAATGTATTATTGTACAGGAATAAGGTTATTACTTTTTTATGCAAAAAAAAATATTTATAAATATGTATCTAAAACACGTATAATTCAATACAAAAATGTAGACACATAAGTAGATGAAGAAAAATGATAAATAGTACAACAAAAGATTTGTTTTGCTTTTTTTTCGCAAATCAGAATGAAGCACCACAATTTTGTCTAGTTTAATTAGCAATTTGTTTTGTTTTCGTACAACAAAATATAAAATACTAATATCCTAAAACAATCCATAGAAAAATTACTAATATTATTTTTCAGTAAAAAAAAATAATAATAATAATAATACTAAACATATAAATGTACAAGTAATATTGTTCAGTCCTATAATTTGGATTTAAGAACAATGTAATTGATTTTAAAAATATCAAAATTATGGACTAATAATATTGTTTATTTGCAATTTAAACTAATAACAAATTAAAATAAATAATTTAAAGTATAAAATAATTATATATTTATATTGAATAATTATAATTTATCAGTTAACATAAAATAATAAATGTGAGCTTTCAAAACACAAAGAATATACATATTAATGTTTTCTAAGTGACAATTGTATTATATATTATCATAGATTTGTTCATAGATTTCTGTTTCACAGCTCAAACCCATTTGGGAACACTGGGCATCATAGGAAACAATATTAAATGTGTAAAATGGCCTCTAGTGTTTTGATAAAAAAAAAATAATAATAATAAATCTTATAGTGCATAAGCACATTAATAAAAGGTAAAAAACTACATGAAAATTATTAAAAATACATTAGTGTCGAGGATTAATATTTTTCTATATATTTACCACACTTGGTAATCAAGTCTTTTTGTTTTGAAGCAATAATATTATTATATGTATAAACATATTATAATATAATTAAATTATATATAGATATAAATTTGTATACATAATATAACTTGGTAATAAATTGTAAGCTGTCACATCATAGATGGTCTCCAGATAGTTTGGTCCGTTTAAATATACTTATCGGCCATTAATGTTAATCATTATGTTTTATCATTAATTACAAATTTAAGTTACTCTGAATATAATTGATTTACCAATTGGCCATGCCAGGTTTGTTGAGTGTCATGAAATATATCTGACAACATGACCCACCTTTAGCTGACGAAAAGAAAACCTGAAAAAAGTTTTTTAATTATTGGTTTGGATAATTTTATAGAATCATCTTAAATTTTGTTCATGCTACACACCAAAAAAAAATAAACAATTATGAACAAAATAAAATTAATAAATAACAGTAATTACTGTAACAACTGACAAATACCTTATCATTTCGTTCACAAAGAAACTTCAACCTCTGTGCTTTTTTGTGCATGAATACACCATCCAAATGACCAGTTTCTACACTTCGTATTTCGATTGCTTTGTTGCCCCAACCCATTATTTGGCCAGTGCCAATATATGCAACCGATGTAGGCATCTCACCCCATTGTAATAATATATTCTTTGACGTCTATAAATTTCCAAAGTTAAAAAAAGAAAAACAAACTAAAAACCAACAAATACAATAAATAATAAATAGGTACCTTTCCGTAAGTATTTACATAGACACCCTCGTTGTCAAAACATAACAGCAATTGTAACCCATTAGAGTTTGGTAACACAACAATACAATGTGGCGCAATAGCTCCTTGAGTCTAGTAATTGTAACAATAAAAATATTAATTAAGATCTGGTTTATAACATTCAAGAAAATCACTTACATGTTTAGGTAAATATACATCATACACAGAGGCTGAGTCAAGATCTACAGCATGGAATCCATCAGCTGAACCATAAATCACCTTAAGTCGTGCCCCTTCTTCAATTGTCAAATCTACTAGTAGGGGTCGATGAACAAGGTCTCCAAATGACTAAAGAAAAATTGTACAGAATTATCAAAATATAAAAATAAATACACACTGCAACAATACTATACCTTAAAAGCCATAAATTTATGATATGGTTTAGGAGCCCATGCATAGATCTCGATGCTGTCTTTGAGTGCTATCACTAAGAATTTTATACGTTCATACTTTACAATGCAGAAGTGTACAGCACCTTGTAAATCGCCAACATTTATCCAACCATTCCTACGCTCTACTTGCTGCATAGATAACAAAATAAACCATGTAAATTATAAATGTTGGAATAAAAACAATGACTATAATTATAATGTAAATGCACACAAGTAACTCACCCCATCTGTTCTAAGAATTTTAGATTTTAGCCAAGATAAATAATATACTCTGACACGATTTTTCTTGCCAGAAACAGTTACTAATATATTTTGACCTTCCAATACTTCCATTTGTTGAAATCTTCTTCTAGAAATAAGTTGGTACACTTTACCTTGACCACTTCTGTCTAACAACATAAGTCCAGTCTCTGTGCCAATTAACAGGTTAACTCCTAAGAACAAAAATTATTTCAAATATTTTCAAAACAATATATCTTAAATATACATAGATATATCTACATACCCCATAATGCTGCACAGAGGATTTCAGAATTGAAACGTTTTTTGTATTTACGTATCTCAGGTGTCTCAGATGCTAAATCATGAACAGTTGGTGTAACATTAACGTTAACATGTGACTCACGACGACCAGGTCCTTGTGAACTTGTACTAGTACCAGTACCACCAGCACCAAAGCCAAATGTCAAGAATGACCGTTGTTTCTGTAGTAAGGAATAAGTTTTAGATATTGCATTTTGGTACTGAAACAAATAACAAAAAACCTTTAGTAATTCCATTTAGAATAACAGATAACAAAAATAAATTATGTCTTCTTATACCAACAGCCACTATTGTAAGCATTTTATTTACATTCTACATACATGTTAATAGCTGTTGATAATAAACGCATTAAGATTAATTACACTTACTTTTAACAAATGTGGACATGACGTTTGAGTTAATGATGTTAATGGACATAAAACAAAATCAAATAAGATTAGATATTATTTTTAAAACAAAACCTAATTGCACAGTTAAATAATTAAATGGCAATATTTAAAACAAATTGAAAATGTATGTTAACATGTTCTCTATTAATTTAATTATTTACCTCTTCACTGTTGCTTTTGTCAAGTCTTTGACTTGGAGTACCAGGACTAGATGAAGCCTGAAAAATAAAATACAGAAATAATGTTAAAAATATGAATAATACACATATCATATTTATTAAACAAAACCTGAGAAAGTAGATCTGGTAGAACCGAACTTGTCCTTGAACTTGATCCACCTGATATGTCATGTCTATGGAAATCACTACGGCGTTCATCACGGTTCTATAAGTTTAAATGTATCATCATATTAATTCTATATACATTTATTTCATGCAAATAAGACATACATTTTTGTAATTTTGCATTAGTAAGGTTATTCAGCGTG